CCCCTCCATCATTCTATCCATCTCTTACTCTGCCCCTCCATCATCCTATCCATCTCTTACTCCACCCTTCCATCATCCTATCCATCTCTTACTCCACCCCTCCATCATCCTATCCATCTCCTACTCCACCCCTCCATCATCCTATCCATCTCTTACTCTGCCCCTCCCCATCATCCATCAAAAGAATCCCAGCGTGAAGGAGTTGAATTAAAAAGTTTTTACGCATTAATGCCATATGAGACTATTTAAAGACTGATGAAAATCCAAGAGGAAGCAAACAAACAATGCCACATTGTAACACCTATGGACCTGCAAGGAAAAACTTTAACATTTGAGGACAGCTGGCCGGACGGACAGAAGACAGAAATCAGTATTACATAGGCTCGCACTTGCTTTGCAGCTCGCCAAAAAGACAAACAAAGACACACGAAAATGTGTTTATAAATTTTTTCTTTTACGTTTGAACATTTTGAAATACAAAATGGTGCGTCCTCAAGGGATTAAAAATAAATGATCACGTGGCCAAACAGGAAAACCCCAGCCAAGCGAGTAAGCACAGGGCTGTGCACTATGTGGCGGTGTGCACTGAATGGAAGAATTTTCACAGAAAGTACACAGTTTTGGCGTTTCATATTTTTTTCAGTAGAATAGAAAATGTAAGAAAAACATGAAATCTCAGCAAACAAATGAATTTTACAAGAAACATATTCCTGGATACAAGGAAATAACCACATATATAGTCAATAGCCACCACGGGGGCAAGTAGGGTTACCTTTGCACTGTGTATGTACATGTGGGGCGAGACTTGGGAACTTTCGTTAGCTCGAAACCTGGATAACTTGAATTTTTTATCCATTCCCCTGAGGTTTGAGTTATCGAGAGTGTACTGTATGTGATTTTTGTGAAATACCAATCACAGAAAATGAAAGGACTAACCAGCTGCATCTTGGTCATGTACTTCTTCCACCACAGAAACTTCTGGAAGGTTGGCCCCAGTGCAGCCAGGAAGTAATAGATGTACATCATGAAATGAATGAATGAATTCAACATTGCATGGAAAGTACCAAAACCACCTGCAAGCATAAGAAGGGTGTAATGAACGTTAAACCGTAACTCCGTATGCATTTGCCTCAAAGTTCCATAGAATAATTACCGCACTGA